GGCCTCATCAATAGCAGTCGATTCGAAGACAGCCTTGTCGCCAAGAGCAATCTGTTCCCGGCGAAGATCGAACGCCTTGAAGAGAATCTTTGTAAGGACGCCGATGTTCTTAGCAATGGCCGACTTGGGGTGCTTGTCAACAGCGATCGTGACAACTTCCAAGAGTTCATTCACAGCAATTGGGCCAGCCTTGACGGCGTGCTGCCAATTCCGATCGACGGCGCCGAGAGTTGCGCCCAGATCCACCTTGCGGGCCATCAACCGCAGGGACTCCTGGCGGCTTTCATCACTGCTCTCCTCGATGTCCGCATTAGCAGACTTGAAGGATAGGAGGAGCATCTTGTCCAAATCGCCAGCCGAGATCATGAATGGCAGGTGAGCGAAAAGGGCAGAGAAGAGGGTGAAGACGGCGTCGTGGAGTCGCGAGTTCTCCTTGCCAGGAACCAGACTCAACTCGAGCAATTCCAATGAACGCTTGAGTGTGTCCGGGAGGGCAGGAATCATGGCTTGACCCAGCACCTCAGCCATAGAGGCCAGGCACAGGATACCCATGTAGCGAATGCGGTCATCGGATTGGCCGAGGCAAGATTCACTGGCAACCACTCTAGCCGCAGCAATGACCTTGGACGGGTCCTTACGGCCGTACTTGTCGGTGATGCGGTCAATGCACGAAACAGCAGCATGCTTGAGCAGCGTATCCGGAGACGACTCGACAATGCCAACCAGGGTGGGCAAGAAGTCGAGAACCCGGATCTGCGACAGGTTGTCGCGCTCGGGGTTCTGGCGGAGGCGAGTCTCGAGCAAACGGAGAACCTTGCGTCGAAGTTCGTCATTGGGACCCTGGAGGAGAACCTCAATGGTATCCAGGAAGTCGACGAGAGACAGAGTGCTAAACAGAGAGCCGAGGACCTCACCACAAGCCTGGCTGACGGGCTTCATACTCTGCACAGCCTCGCCGATGCTCAGCACCTGGGTCAGAACTCGGGAGAAGCAAGCGCGGGACTGATCAGCAAACTCGTCGTCCGACTCAAAGGCAGTCTCAAGCTTGGACTTGAGAGAAGAATGTTTGAACAAGTGAGCAAGATCACGCAGGAGATCAACGCAGATGCTCTGGGCATCGCGTCCATCGTCACTGCCAATTCCAAGAAGGACCTGAGAGATACCTGGCTTGGTCTTGAGAGCATCGCTGACCAAATTCAAGTACTTGCTGTAGGTGGTAAGCTCTACGACAGTTGTAGTATCAGAGACCAGACCAGTCATCAGAGTGAGCACATCCTTGTCGGTGGAGTATCGGTTAGCGAGCATTGCCAGAACGGCGAACAAGAAGTCTTGTGTTCCAAGCTTGCTGATCAAGGCATGGAAGAGTCTCAAACGGCGATGGGCGGGGATGTGCTCGAAGGCTGCAGTGAAACTGAGCAGTAGCTCGGAAGTTCCGGAGACAACATCCCTCTTCTGGTTACGCAGAGACTGGATAAGAGCAGGAACAACTTGGTCAATGGTTTGGTCAATGACCGAAACAGAGTAGTCATCATCCTTGCGTAAAACGGTAGTGCCCATGAACGTGAAGATCGGCATGACGCTGTGGAGAACCAACTCGGGCGCAATGACAGACAGACTACCCACGAGAAGAAGAGCGCCGTTCTGAACCTGCGGGCTGTCGGTTGTTCGGACACAGTCCACCACCAGGTCGGCCCTGATGACGGATGTATCGAACCTCGGCTTAACAGATCCCTTAGATGTGTTCACGATAGCCAAGAGACTTCCCAAAGTCAGGCTGAGGAGATAGCTCATGCCAGACTGGATCTGGGACTTGAAGTGATGAAGAGCAGCTAGAGTCTGGAACAATCCACCTGCAAGCTCAGGATGAGTTTCTGGGGAGGAGCTATCCACGATTTCCAAGATGAAAGTCATCTTGTCCATCAAATTGCTAAGCTCTGCTTCGTCCTTGACAGTCATCGCAAACATGTTGTTCTGGCTAGTACGTCTCCGCTTCGGTGCTGGACCAACAGACTCAACATCGGTAATAGACACAGGAATCTTTTGGACAAATTGCTGAAGAACAGCACCAGAAAGCTCGACAGTGCGAAGAACGTCGCGGCAGTTATTTGCCAGAGAAGCGGCATTGGCCGATCGCGAAAGAGAGATATCGAGCAACTTCTCGGATGCGGCCAACTGACGGTCTTCGGGAATCTTAGCCCAGATGTGTTTGATTTGACCAAAGCAAGCCGCAACAAAGGACGGGCGCAAATCATCACCAGAGCTGACATTGGAGAGGAGAACATCGATGGCGTCCTTGTCTTTGGATGTGACAATAGCAGCAATCAAATTCTCTGTCTCAGATGCCACAATGCGCTCCTTGCCACAAATTTCCTCGACTTCCTTCTCGCTCAGGCGACGCCAATCCTCGAGCACCGGGAGAAGCTCACTGGTCAGGGTTGCAGTAGAGACCTTCTCCACGCTGTTGACCAACTTTAGCAAGCTAATCTTGGGTGCGAACACTGGCATCTTGACAACATGAGAGCAGATGAACGCAAAGAGACTGAGGCGAAGAGACTTCTTGAGTTCGGATGCACCCGAAGCCTCGGACAGAACGTTGCCCCGAAGGGTGGCTTCCACCATCCTACCGACATGGTTAGAGTCAAGGATAGACTCCTCCAACCCTGGAAGCAATGCCCGCTCCAAAACCTTTTGCGAATCCTTGGTGGTCAGCCATGCAACACCCGTGGATTGCTTGCCCTTGCCGTAGATTGAGTCGTAAGCCCATGGCTTCGAGCTGTCACCGGAAGTGGTGTTCTTTTTGTACAAAGATCCGATAATAGCCAAGACGCCAGCAGTCTGACGGCGAATCCGTTCTGAAGGATCAGAGAGGGCCACAAACAGGAATGGCAGTAGTGCCTGAGGGTCAAAGTCTGCGGTTGCCGACGAAAGAACAGATGATATAACGTTCAAAGCAGCAATCTTTGTTCCGATGGGGAAGTGGCCAGCAACAACTCTGATAAAGAAGGATAGATATTGAGGTGTTTTGATCGCCTGGGACTTACCCAAGATTGGCAAGTTGGTGAAAAGCTCGAGATTGTCCTCGGAGTCCACCGCCAAGGCGAAAACGCGAACCAGGTTATCAAATTCGATGGTAAACTGTTTGGAGAGGAAGGAGTATGGGAACAAGGACTCTTTGATCAAAGACTCCAAGGCTGGAGTAAACGCGTCCACCTGGGGCTGATCATCCGCATCGATCATATCCACATCTTCGATGGCCTGTGCCACAACTGGGGCCTCGACAACGGTCTGAAGGTTGTGCTCCAGCGCCGAGATGTTGAGCGAAGATTCAGTCAAAACCTTCTGGAAAATAGGTTGCAGAGTTTCCGACCGGTTGAATCCTTGAACCAGCTCAGCAAGCTGTGTCTGGGCATCCAAAGACATTCCGCGGGTATCATCTGCATTGGAAGCTGCTTCGAGAACCAGGCTCATAGCCTTGGCAATCTCGTTCTCACCAAGCATCTTGCGTTCAAAGACGGAGGCCAGAATTGCAAGGCGAGCATTGTCCTGCTTGTCAAGATCAGTCAAGCAACCGGCAATGACTCCAAGCAATAAATTTGATGTTTGATATTGTGGCGCGATTTCGGAAAGTTGGGCGATAGGATTCTCGAGGCGCAAGATGCCCTTAAAGACCCTTTTGGGGATTGTAACAGCAGGCTTCTGCTGTGCAAGGACTGAAAGGCAAATCAGACCAGATATCTTTGTATCTTCTGTCCAAGAACCCACAACACTCTCCATTAGGCCATCGATAACTTCGTTCGAGAGGAAGGCCTTCTGTGCCAGTACAACGCAGATCATATAGCAGCCGACGATCAATTCCGAAACATTTTTCATTGTGAAAGCGTTACTGAGTACCGGCAAAATCCGCAAAAGGATATCTTCATGCTTTTGCTTCTCGGCCTCTCTTCTCCCAGAGCGAGCGCCATCCAACATTGTTGCGACAGCCTCCGTGACAATCCCGGCCCAAAATGCAAGTAGTGCATGGCTTTGGGCCTGTTGCCTACAAACTTTCAGGACGTATTCGTTTAATTCGGAAAAGAAAGGCTTGTTCGTTGCTGCGCTATGAACAAGCGGGTGTCTTGGTGGATTAATAAGACCGTTCTTGTATGGAATGAGGACTTTGAATGCTGGCGTAAGAGTTTCTGGAAGAATAGAGAGAAGGTTCAAGAAGAGCGGCGTCGTATGATACGGCAAAAACGTCAATAATACGGCGGTTGTGTTGAACTCGTGGATCCTGTCCCATAAGTCAGCCACCACGCCTCACGATCTGCACCTCCCCTCACAATTTGTTCTTACCTGAACCTTCTAACAAGCCAATCCACAGCTTTCACTGCAGGACTCAACTGGAGCCTGCCGCCAACCAGAGCTAGGAAAGCTTCAACCACAGTATCCAGTTCTTTATTCTGGGCTACGTTCATCTGACTGCGGTCCTCCGCTTTGCTCTGCTCACTGAATATCGTGCGATCAAACTCCGCAAACCGGGGGTCCAACGAGCATAACTCCCGGAATCCGTCATAACAAATATCATAGATCGCATCGAAGTCTTGAGTGCCGGCAACTTTTGGGTCGAAAATAAGTGACTGTGAGTGTAACACCCTTTGCGCCTTAAGGTCAAGCTCGTGTGTCGACTTGGCCGCAATTTGCGACAGCTGCGCGGCGAGAGACGAAGCCATTGTGAAGTCTCTTTTGGCGGGCTGTTCCGCGGACTTTTCTTGTTATTTTTGTATTGGTTCTCACACAATTGCACAGTGACCCATATCCCTAAGACTTTTGAGGGTAGTCTTTCTTTTTCTTTGCGAACCGAGGGCAGGTTCAAACAATTTGAGGTAAGTCTTCAGCTTTGCTTGACCAAAAGCAAATGGTTGACTTTTTTTTTGCCAGCCATCCCGACCGCCTATCGGAGAATGATTCTTCCGGGTTATCAGACCGCGGCGCGACTCGATAAGGAAGATCGAGCCACCACGATGGACTCATCTGGGTCTCAGGTTAGTTAGCCTTTACTTACATCTTAGTAAATAAGAAGCACAGACTGACGAAAATAAAGGGTGTTCCGCAATTCTCCAGCTTCCAACCTCCCCCTACCGCTCCTCCGGCCCCCGCTACCGGCTCGGACCATGAACGTCGCGGGCGTCGCCCGCGCCATCGTCGTCGCGCAGACCGCAAAGAGTCTCCACGCTCTCGTCGCCATGAACCGCGTTCGGACGGTGGCCGTCAACAGGCGACAGGCGAAGAAATTGAGAAGCGCCTGAGTGGTGAAGGAACTGACGATTTAAACGCTACAAAAGATGAGCCAAACAAAGGATTTATCGTCGACAGCCGCGGCGATCGCGACAATACACGTTACGGTGTGGATCGTTACGAGGTCCCTGCATACCATCGCAATGGCAATGGTTTTGTACTTGGGCTCCCCGGCCAGCGCATTGATTACCAAACGCGATATGACCAAGGCCCTCTTCTCCTTCTTCGCCCCGACTCAGGCTCGTCAACCTCCGCAGTCAAGCCCCTCTCCGCCGAAACCCTGTCTGCTTTGTCCGTCAATCTTCCCGTTCGCCTCCGGTCTGATCTTAATGCCAACCTTGCTGCTGAGACCTCACATACACAAAATTTCATCTCGACAACAGTCCCATCTCAATCCGGCGTTGCGACAACTGCCAACTTAGATGATGAACCACCGTCTTATCGCTCTATCGAGATCCCAGATAAATCCGAAGAACAAGCGACTGAGGATGATGCGAAGACCTTCATTCGTCTTGCTGTCGAAGCTGAGATCTTGAATCGCAATGCCAAGTTGAACAGCGCAGTGGCACAACATCCTAATGATATTCAAGCATGGATCCGGCTTGCTGAACATCAAGAACTTGCCGTCACGGGTGGGACATCTGGCGATCGGACCTCCTATCGCGATCATATACAACTTGTGGCAAGAGCCAAGCTGTATGTGTATGAAAGAGCGATCAAGGCCAACGCACAAAATCCTGAACGCGATCATCTCGTGCTGGGCCGTATGGAAGAAGGTGCGAAAGTCTGGGACTCCACAAAACTTTCATTGGAATGGGACGGAGTCCTCCGCCGTCACTCTGAGTTCATCAATATATGGATTGAGTATCTTGACTACTGTCAGACTGACAGTCAGGATTTTAACTTTGACACTTGCTTCAAGACTTATGCCTACTGTTTGAAGCTACATTCACGTGTCGGCTTCGGACCGCGGAATACTCTTATCAGGTCATACTTGCTACTTCGTTTGACCCTGTTTCTTCGAGAATCGGGCCACGTAGAGCTAGCAGTCGGAATATGGCAAGCGGTGCTCGAATTCACATGCTTCCGGCCATCGCATCAAAAGGGGGGGGGGAGGAGAGGCCCTAGTGGAGTTTAAAAAGCTCTGGAAACCTGGGCACATCCGAATTGGGGAGCCTCATTGGCAACCCTGGAACAGTGGACAAACCTCCCGTCCTCCTATCAACGAGCATGTTTACACTTCTGAGGCGAATACCACAGACTTGTTCCCATCCTGGGTACGTGCAGAAAGAGAGCGGATGTTCAAAAATCGCATGCCGTCACATGCCTTTGGTGAAACTGGGGAGAATGACGGTTTCCGAGTAGTCCTTCTTGAAGATCTCACGCAGATACTTCCTTATTTCTTGGATTTGGAAGAAAGTCTTGGTTCCCTAGTTGATAGCTTCTTGTATTTCTGCCATTTGCCTCACTTGACAATGCCTGCGAATATGCACACCAGCCGGCTGTGGACTGGTGACAATTTCGTGCGAAACGAATACATGGATGATCCTCGAAACACAATCGCGGACTGGATCACTTTTGGGAAGTTTGCCTCAACCACAAGCCTTGCGCCTTTCGCATTCCCTCACCAGACCTTCGTTCACACCACCGATACTCTTTTCGCCGACCCAAAGCTGTGGTTCTCTGCGCTAACGAAGTGGGCTGCAACCACCTCTCATTCTTCCTGTGTCATCGATCCCGACTTTGTAATCTTGACTCTCCATGCCCTTGTCGATATCTTCAAAGATAGCCAATTGGCTGAATACGCCATTGCAGTAACTTTCGCGTGTGACAACGCTCTGGGCAAGAAATACGGAAAGAGACTCTTGAAGGAGCGATCATCAAATCTGAGACTTTATAATGCCGTTGCGCTCATGTATTGGCGGACTGGCGATCTTGATGTTGCTCACAATGTGTGGTCCACCGCTTTGTCTATGAGCCAGAATTTTGATGCCCGCGAGCTCACTGACTCTGCACTTCTGTGGAACTCTTGGATTTGGGAAATGCTTCACGCTGGGAACAAGAATCGAGCTTCATACCTGTTGCAAGCCATGCCTTATAATCGAGTCCACTTGCTATCATACGACACAGCTGATGAACTTGAAATCAATGAGACCACTTTTCTCAGGGTCAAGAAGGCAAGTTCTCATTCGTTGATCTCACTAAATGCTGTTCTAACCATCCACAGTGCTTGTTTGCCGCTCAGAGGAATGCCTTGAAGTTCAAGAAAATGCAAGCATACGTAGCTTACGCCGACTGCTATGCCATCGCCCTCTATCTCATGGGCGAGCAGCTTGAAGAAGTTCTTGATGTCTACAATGACGCCGCCACTTCTCTTAGAGTCTTGCCTAGGACTGATGATGATTCCAGGGTGTTCGGCGGAGAATTGCTGCACCAAGCCCGAGCACGGATCATTTACCACTATGTGGAGAAGCAGAGTGGTCAATTCAGACCCGCTGACATTCGTGCGCAGCTCCTGGATAGTCTGGAATGGTGGCCTCACAACACCATGTTCTTGTCGCTGTTCAAATGGAACGACGCTCGTTTGAATCTGAGCGATCGAACCCGCGATATCTTCGACGTCACTATCGGGGCGAAGGCCAGGGCCGCCCGGCATCTGCAAGGGCCTGCCCCAATCTACCGTGTACCCGTCACAACTCACCTTTTTAGCATCTACGCTGAGATGGGTCGCCCTCTCCTGCTCGGTTCGACCGCGCATTCCATTCGGGCAGCCTTCGAGCGGGCGATCGGTGATCATGGCATCGTCCCGATCGGGCGGACCCCAACTCGAAAGAGTCCCTTCGAGCTGGCGAGCTCAACCTCCGCGCGGACCAGCCTCACCATCTGGAGGCTATACATTCTCTACGAGCTGTACGCGGAGTACAACGTCGGCCGCGCCCGCGAGATCTTCTTCCGAGCCCTGCGCTCTTGCCCCTGGTCGAAGGAGCTGTACCTACTCGCCTTCGAGCACCTGCGGGCGGATTTGACCGACCGCCTGCCCCCCCTCAGTCTCAACCGGCAGGGAGAGGTCAGCTCTTCGGGGTTCAACCCTGCAGAGCTTCGGGCTCTATACTTGGAAATGCTGCGTCGTGGACTCCGTATTCACTACTACTTGGAGGGCCGAGTAGGCCCAGAGGAGGTCTGATACTGGCGGCTGGGCGGTGGAGGAGGAGAGGGGAGAGAAGAGTGGGGAATACAAGATCATGAGCGGGTGAAGGGGGTCACCTAGATGGGATAAAAGTAATATCAAATCCAATTGAAAAGTAAAAATCCCGTGCTTTGCTCGATATCCGGGGGTCTAGCAGCATAGCAACGTAGGGAGTCTCGCATCGATCACGACTTTGGTCCAAACTTCGGACACTTTCCACATTAAAGTCCTGGATGAATAATCTCCTCACAACTGCAGAATCATTGTGCCACTGAGCGGAGGACGCGAGGTGGGAATTGGATTTTTACCAACCTTGCGGACCTTCATTTAGTCTAGGCATGTCAATATAAAACAGCTTCTCGTGAACTTCATGGCAGGCAAATGGGACAAAATTGTAGTTACAATGGGCCTACTAAATAAAGGAGCCAACATCACAATCCAAATAGAGTAAATGCCATCGCCGTTATACAATCTTTCTTGGTTAGATACAACTATGCTTCCTCACTAAAGAACCGATTCTGAGGTCTCGGCAGGCCAAAGTGTTCACGCAGTGTCGAACCGGTATACTCTTTGCGGAAAAGACCTCTTCGCTGGAGTTCAGGAATCAATCTATCCGTCACCTCTTCCAGGCCCTGTGGCAAGAACGGAAACGTGCACGTAAAGCCATCAGAAGCTTCCTCGCGCAACCAGATCTCCATCTCATCGGCGATATCGCTTGGCGAACCGAGGAATGTCAGCCCTGAGTATCCACCATATCGTTGGGCAAGCTGGCGGATCGTGAGTCCCTCTTTCTTGGCTAGCTTTTCAACGGACTCCCTGCTCGTCTTGCTCGCATTGGTCTCGGGCAGATCGTCTGGCAACAAACTATCCGGATCAAGGCCACTGACATCCACTCCAAGTGAGATTGACAAGGAAGCGATGGCACTGTCGTAATGCACCAGACTATCCAACTTGAGTCTCTTCTCCTGCGCATCTTGCTTGCTATCCCCAACGATAATCATTGCCGCGGGTAAAATCTTCAAGAGATCTCTCTTCCGTCCGGCCTTCTCCACTCGCCCCTTGATATCCGCATAGAGCGCCTTCGCACTATCAATATCCTTTGGACTGCAAAACACGACCTCGGCTGTCTCAGCCGCAAGCTGTCGTCCTGGCTCGCTTTGCCCAGCCTGAACAATAACTGGCCATCCCTGGGGTGGCCTGGCAATATTCAACGGCCCTCGAACCTTCAACTCATCACCGGAATGGTTCAGCACGTGCATTTTCGCAGGATCGAAATATTCTCCCGTCTCGACATTGCGAGTGAAAGCATCATCGGCAAAACTATCCCACAGCCCGGTGACGACATCATAGAATTCGCGGGCACGCTTATATCGATCACCATGGGCCAGATGCTCATCGAAGCCGAAATTATGGCTCGACTCTGGGTTTCCGGTAGTCACGATATTCCACGCTGCTCGCCCGCCACTCAGGTGATCGAGACTGGCAAATCGCCGGGCAACATGATACGGTGCGTCGTAGGTCGTACTAGCAGTAGCAGCAAGACCGATCTTCTCCGTCACGGAAGAGAGAGCGGAGAGCAGAGTAAATGGCTCGAATGAGGTAACCGTATGACTGCGCTTGAGAGCTTCGACGGGCATGTTCAGCACGGCGAGATGATCAGCCATGAAGAAGGCATCGAACTTGGCGGCCTCTAGCTTTTGGGCGAACTGGGCAATGTGTTTGAAATTAAAGTTGGCGTCGGGATATGAGCCCGGATAGCGCCATGCACCCGTGTGTAGCGAGACTGGCCGCATGAAGGCCGTGAGGTGCAGCTGACGGTTGGGTTGCGAGTCGGTCATTGTGGAGTTGATTTAGGTATCCTCTAGGTTGGATTTTTCAATCTTTCTAGATGTGATTCATACAAATAGGTTAATTAGAATCGCTGAGGTTATATACTCTGTACCCCGCCTGTTGTGGCATTTCCAAGCCGATTTATAAGCCTCGCTCACTTGGCCTTGATATGGCGTGCTTAGAGCTGCGTAACTATATATAGCTGTGTATAGTTGTCCAACCATCCCGAGGTCCTCATTTATCGCAAATCTTATACTTTGAAAACCTCTAGTCAAGAAAATATTGAATGAGGGGTACCCTCTGTTGAAATTCAATCTGCTGTCTATGTAGAATGACACAATAAAGAAATCCAAAGGAAGGAAAGAAGAAGCAGAAAAAAAGACACCCGGATGCATGGCAGATCAGGTACCTGCGTACATACGTCAATCGAAGTTGATGCGGTGTCCATGTGCACCCTTTCTTGTCCTAAACCCGGATGCCGCCCAGACACTCCCGAATCTTGGGTCAAAATCTTTGACATCGTCAAGGAAGCCCCGCAAATAGGACAATTCGTTCTAGTTCTTCAGATATTTGGTTTTCTCCGTTGGTCGAATATCTTGGTTATGGGTAACGAGTACCCCATAGGTACCCCTTTGACTAGAACCTGCCATGATGTGGTAACAAGGAGGATGGGAAGAAGAAGGATGGGAAGAAGAAGGATGGGAAGAAGAAGGATGGGGAGAAGAAGGATGGGGAGATGAAGGATCAAGATAAGTGTGCAGTGCGAAGTGAAAGAAGGATCAAGAGAAAGAAGGATTAGAAGAAAGAAAGATCAAGATATGCAGTGCAGTTGTATGTACTTAGAAGGGTGATTGTCAAACTGCAGAATATCCCTCTATCACCACCTCAATACCCGATGAAGTTCGAAGAAAAGCAAATACATAGTATGAATTCATATAACAGCTAATAAGCAAAATAATAGTAGCAAGCTGGGTCCCTACATTTCTTGGCCTAACTAGGTCATTCAAAGCACCGTTTCAGAAAGCTCAGGCTCCTTCCATTATTCCAGCGAGTAATCCTCAGCTCCTCCTCCCCACCTTTTGCCCTTTTGGATCATGACGCCCACCATTGGAAGTTTGCACTCTTCCAAAATTGAAATTATCTGTTCTCGGAGACCGCGCCAGTCTTGTTCGCTCTGGAAATGCACACCCAGTAACGAAAACGCCTCGCTGTCCTTCACATCTGAGGTTGTTGCGATGCGTAATGTATTAAAGTCAAGCCAATGTTTAAGCTGGAGCTCCTTTATGATTCTTGCGTGCACTTGAAGATATATCAAAGAATAGGGGTGTTCCGACTCCAAAGGCCAAAATTGAAATGGGAAGTCAGGATTTGGGATCGTGATTTCGACATTGATGTGACCAAGCTGGTTTTCGGATAGATTTTGCCAGATTTGGCGACAGGCTTGTACCCAAGTGTCGCTAAATGTGTCACGAGTTGCAGTAATGATCAAAGTCGGCGCGGGTTCCTTAACCTTTAGAGGCCAGTATTTGTATTGACATTTTTTGATCTTGATGGATGTTGCATTGACTTTATACTGCTCAAGAACCGAAAGGATCATTTTATGAAGGCTGATGGTTTCGAAAACTGTCCATAAAGGGGACTTTCCGTCCAGATTGAAAATTGTCACGGGTAGGGAACAGAGATATGGCCCGCCAGCGCGATTTTGCTCATTGATGAATCCATCTGAATCGACCTGCCACTGGCCCGGGTCGTGAATACTATCGCAGCTGGTCCGAACACGCTGGCCATCTCGAAGAGGAGAGGCGTATGCTGCTAGGACTTGGGAGCCTGTCGGGCGGTCCTCCTCCTCCTCCTCCTCTGATTCAGCATCATGCTGAGACGATTTATCAAAACTTTCGATGGAGGACGATTCGGATTTGGCACTGGCAGAGCTATCCGAAACCGCAGAAGAGTACCAATCAGAGGAGCCAATAGAGGAATCATCAGAGAAATCATCGTGGGAGTTATCAGCGGACGTGTTGGATATGGTGCTAGGCTCTTCCTGGATAGAGCTGGAGATGTGAAGCATGCTAATATCCTTTCCGGAGGGACTATCACACAGGATGACGGTTTGAGTGTCACTATCACTGTCATACTGGGCGGACATGTCCGGTGTACTACTAAATTCGATGTCGTAATTCTCTTCGGAAGATGGGCTGAACAAGGCGGGTGGAGACTTTGGCCTCGTATCAATGTTATCGATGGAGGACGCTTCATGTTCGGCACCGCAAGAGTTATCCAAACCCCCAGAAGAGAACCCATCAGAGGAGCCACCAGGGAACGTGTTGGGCATGGCGCTAGGGTCTTTCTGGCTAGAGCTGGAGGTATGAAATGGGTCGTTCTCAGAGGGGCTGTCACACAGGATGCCAGTTTGAACTTCACTGCCACGGTCATACTGAGCAGACATGTCTGATAAAGTGCTAGTGCCGACTTCGAGATTCTTCTGGGCAGGCGGGCCAAACGAATCCCCTTCTCTCAATTTAGGTTGGATCGCAATAGAAGTCTCAGTTGTGTGGCACTGCACAGGCACGCTGGTTTTGATGTCACAGTTCCCTCGGCAGACGGGTCAGGCATGATGACAGTGTCAGTGTCAGTGTCAGTGTTAAACTGAGCAGGTATATCTGACGAAGCGCTAGTTTTTTCTTGGGTAGGCAGTTCAAGCAGCTCTATGGGTAGAGGCTTGAGGCTCATCTTTGTAGAAATCTCAGGGATGATTATTTGAAGGTACAAATGATAAAAGCGAAGTGATGTAGAAGAGAAAGAAAGTGGAGTGGGTGGAGAAGATATGCGGCTCGACGGCCTTGGTAAACCTTAAAATTTGGATACACAGGGTCACGTGCTGACTGTTTGTCTCACAGGGGCATCCTCATCCACAACACACCCAAAGCGTCACATTATTAAACCCACAATTTTTCCAATAGCCTGATACTCATGTGATTAAGTGCTACAAGCTTTCCTAGGAGGAGGTAGTATCAGAACCATTACATTTGATTGAACATGTACCGACACCTATCCACGCGTGTTTGGTGCTACGTTCGTATGATACAAGGCCCAAAGCAATATTGCCGGTCAATCACGAAACATTCACGCATGCTCTATTCTCACCCAGGTAAGTATGCCTACCTAAACGTGATTTAACATTCACTCATTCGTAGACTGGAACTCTGACGATGAATTCTTTAAATTCACGCGTGGTCGCTTTCTTGTAGACGAGGCGGAAAACCTTCGAAGGCGAGAGATCAAATTCGACTTGAATAGGCTCGCAAGTGTTGCTGCGGACTCGATCGGCGCTGCTCAATGCATTTCCATCAAAAAGTACCCCGACGGTATGTTCAACAAAACATTCCTTATGACGATGGAAGATGGCCGAGAAGTCGTAGCTAAGGTGCCTAACCCTAATGCTGGCGCTCCCCACTTTACCACGGCCAGTGAAGTTGCCACGATGGACTTCGTAAGTTTATTTGAAACTCGATCGACGCCGAATCTTGCTAATGCGACTGGATTGGGAGGCTCGCAAAATCCTCAACACACCAGCACCTCATGTCCACGCATGGAACTCGCAGGCAAAGTCGCATCCTGTTGGGGCTGAATTTATCATCATGGATAAAATCGAGGGTATCCCGCTGTCCCAAGTCTGGAGCACGATGCAAGTACACCAGAGGCTTAAAGTTATTCTTGCCATGACAAGTCTGCAGAAGCAATGGCTTAGCGTTTCATTCTCACATTACGGCAGCCTGTACTACGCGAGAGACGTGCAGTCCCCAGCAGGCAACCACTATGTCAAGGATGGCATGGCCGTCAAAGATTCAGAGTTTGCTATTGGCCCCGCTACTGGTCGGGATTGGTTTGATGCGGGCAGATCAATTTTGGATGTTGAAAGAGGACCATGTACGTCAGAGTTTGTATTTTCTTCTCTCAGCTGCTGACGAGTTTGTAGGGGCTTCTCCAACGCAGTACCTGCAAGCCGTCGGAAGGCGGGAGATTAAAGCAATCCAGTTTCTGAAACCACCCAAACAGATTGCCTTGTTCTGTGGTCCAAAGCTCTACCGACCCGACGCAGAAAATAAGCTTACCGCGTTAGCATGGTACCAAAAGATCGTCGATGCCATTATTCCAAAGGACACCTCCATTACCAACCCATATCTCTGGCATGATGATTTGCATGATGATAACATCTTCGTAGACCCACACAACCCTGAAAAGATTACGGGTATCATTGACTGGCAGTCTTGCCACATCTCACCCCTCTTCAGCCATAACCCCGATCCAGCTTTCCTTGACTGGGATGGCCTTGAGCCAGAAACGCTCGACCTAGCACCAAGACCGACACTCGCTGGGCTTTCCCCCGACGAACGGTCCGCGGCTATGCACGAGTATACAGTTCAAAATGTGTTCATTGGATGGCGAAAACTCATGCGTGCTAAGAATCCAGACTTGTATCGGGTAGTCGAATTCCGAAAGACGGCAGCGTTCGGACTGATTTTTCTTGCCCACCGCATGTTCGAATACGGCGAGCCGCACTTCCTATCGCTTCTAGTCGATTTGAAGGACACGTGGGCGGACTTACCCGGCCTCACTAGCGACATTCCATTCCCGTTTGAGTTTTCAGAAACGGACTTGGAGCGCATCAAGCTGGATTGCGATGATGCAGTAGCGGGGACTGAGCTTGTGTCTGGGGTCAAGGAAGCAATGCGCGATTTGTGGCCCGACAAAGGCTTCATCGAACATGAGCGATACGATGATTGCAAAGCTGCCCTTGATGAAGTCAAGGTTCAGATTCTAGAGCAATTGGCTAAGACTGACGAGGAGAAAGCCGAATACCAGCGTCATTGGCCATTTGAATGATCTCGCGCTTTGGATGTCAACTCTGCTCTCCCCTCCCATAGAATGGTGTCGAGTTTACGGAAATGCTTCTTCGCCACTATGTACATTCATACCCAGCGCAAATTATGGGAAATACCACAACGCGAATCCTTGATCGTACCTCTTGTAGTGGGGGATCCCACTCGATCTTCTCGAGGCTTTGCGCTATATACTCCTTCTGTTTTATAGCCCAGGATATTCGTACATAATGGGTTCCTTATCAGCCAGCACGCGGATCTACGTAATGCAATATGAGATTAGAATTGATTTAGTATTAATGCAAATTGTTCAAATGTGATAAATATATCAGAAATACTTGAAAGGACCATGAGTAGTAATCTAATTTCGATCTTCACCTTACAGCTACTTAAGCCATGAAGGTATATCACCAATCTCCGGGGGCCGAACATAATACGCTTCCTAGTCGTCCCACTCACGTAACTTGTAAAATCCTGGCAGCTCTACGTCGCGCCAGCACATCTTCATCCAACCTACATCGTTCTCAGTACACCCCTCAAGGGGCTCCTCCGACTGAGGTACATCACCAATCGCGATATCCTCTTCATCAAGTATGTCTGGTTACCATTCAGTATAAACCATGCGAACAAATCCTATCCCATCATCATCCTTGGGGGCACTTAGAACCGATTCTATGGCTTCCTGGTCCACCATAATGAAAAACCGGTATCGGCCGGTATATGCATATTAGTCTTCAGTAACACCCTGTTCCTCTTTTAATGAGGCCTTCGCCCACTGATTAAAGTGCTCGCGTAGAGGGGCAACAGTCGCGCCCTCGAAGGAGGGGTCTTCTAAGACTGTTAGGGCAAATGTATCGAGGAGATCAAGGCCACTGTAAAACTCAAGGTAATCGGGGACAGCGCTTAGGAAGCGAGCCATAAATTTCTCCCAGTCGGAGTTGTTTTGGTAGGTACATCGACAGATCATGAAGCCCCAGGTTTTAAATCCGTCCTTATCAAGGAGCGCCTCGAGCCGGTCGGCCACATTCAGTCCGGCGTGCATCGTAGGCGCGTTTTGAGGGGATCATTGTTGAGAATGTGGTAATGGTATTCCCGAAATATGGTGGTAAATACGCGGGCTTTGCGAGACGTGGGCGGTTGATAGAAGCAGGGAAGCGAACAACAAGCTGGCGGGTAGAGGGGGCGAATTGGCCATAGAAGCGTGTAAAAGGTGTAGTTCGAAGAAATCCTCTGGTGATCATGGTGTGAAAGTCCCTAGTTTCTTGTCATAAAGAAAGGCTGGATGAGGTAGAGAGTTGGGCATGGTCCAGGGGTAAGCCGTATTCAAAGTTGCAAGGCTTAAAGTGGAGATCCGATTCGTCTCAAACGCTCTAACTCCTCAAACCTGCAAGTTCCCAAGCTATGCCTGTGCCTATCTGGGTTCGTGGAGAAGTGGAGGAGTGGCAGCGAAGTGGTCAAAGTACGGAGTAATTGTCGTAGTGGCCTAATTCGTCGCCCGTAGTCCGCTGCAGGGTTCTCCATAACATAGGCTTCGATGCGCAGTGTTGATGTAGGTCATGATAAATGCCATGGTCTCTATTTATTGTCTAGAGGGTGCTATGTCTGTTCAGTTTCTCGTCGGATATTATTCAAAGAACATAGTCAAATCTATTGCCATATATTCCTACCACCCAGCATTCCCACTGTATCCACGTATATTGCTTGCTTCTCGCTGCTCGATTCATTCATACTCTCAAGATATAAAATCCGTGTAGAAGAGCTAACCTAGAGAGTTCATGAAATCATAGAAAAGTATAACAAAAAGAGAGATTCGTGATTCGTGTCATATATGATAGAAGAAAAAAGAAAAAGCAAAGGAGCACCAGAAACAAGACTAGAAGTGTTCCTTCCAGAATTTGAACCGGACATCCCTGGTTGATGAATATTTGGCCGCATCGCTAATCTGCATAGCCGCAGTATTAGGACCGCAGAAATAAACACCAATTTCGGTGGTAGCAGCGCTCTGCAGACCCGTCATGTAGGACTGGTCCAGCAAGCCAAGCCGCATAGCCGTGAAAAGTCGCTTGAAGTCCGGACGACCGAAGTTCGTCCGACTCTTTAGCTCGGTGAGAGGGTCAAGGGCCTGACCGACAGAGTTGAGGTAGATATTCGCAGCGGTGTCAGCGTCGAGACGCTGGGTGAGGTAGGTGTGAATACGCAAGAACTCGGTGCTTCCCTCGCTAGCGGCTGTGTTGGCGGATTGGGCTTCGAGGGAGGATAGCAGAGCTTGGAACCACTCAAATGACGAGGTATCCTTACAGACCCAGATAAACTCAACACGTCGCAGTCGGCGAGGAGGGTTCGGACTTGAGCGGAGATGCCAAATGTTCTTGAGAATAGATGCCCAGGGTGTGACGCCGATGCCGGTGCCGATGAGCACGGCGATTTCGTTGTCGAACACGTCTTCTGCGGGTGCACCATATGGTCCATCGATGCGGATGGAGGGCATGGTCTGTCCGTTCTGCAGGGCAACTTCGTACATGCCGTTGGGGTCGAGACCTTCAAGGTCTTTGGCTTGGGCGGGACCGCAACCGAGTGCATCTCCCAGTGCTCGGGTGAAATCTCCGACTTGACGGACGTGGATGCTGAGATATGGATCAAAGGGACAGGAGGTAATGGTGAATGGATGCCATTGGGTGCTGGAAACATCAGGCACTTGAAGGAATAACCATTGTCCTGCTTTGTACTTCATGCTTGGTTTGTGGAACTGGATCTCCATGGCGGCTGGGGTTTTTTTGTTAGCTGCGGTCAATTCAACATTTGCGAGAGAAGATCATACCATAAGGATGGCGAATGACCTTTGTGATGACCGTCACGCGCCTGGATCGGATCTCCCTGTAAAGTCGCTCGAAGAGGTACAAAGCTCCGATGACCAACTCCCATCTCCACCCTTCATAGCCAAGACAATGATTCCAGAACTGTTTCCCTGCGAAAGGAGAGATAGGGCTCGCGGTATCCCGGACAAAGCACCCAGTGGAGTGGGTGTAGAGAGCCAGCATGAACGGAATAAAAAGGTGATGCGCATACCAGAAGGTCTCATATGCTTGCTGGCGAATGCGGTGATGTGCGGTTGTATACATGAGCATCATGCACAAGAGCATGACATGGCCAGTGATACCACCTGCGCGAGCAAAATGGATCTCCACTGCAAGTTCTGGGCGGAGTTGCCTCTTTTCGATGTGGTAGAAACTATTTAGTGTCAGTAAAGTGCCCGCGACAAGCTGTATGAGAAAGCAGCCTACTTGACATAGTGAGCAGCAGTGTGAATAGCTGTGAATACTAGTATAGAATAGGCTATTTGCCGATGGAACCACGCCGATTCATCTAGTGGTAGCCATTTGATCTGTGGTCTGAGCCATCGGAGGACGTTCCGACACATAGGAAATAGGATTAAAGTGCAATCGACAGAAAGAACGAGACCTGCACCTCGCGATATCCAGACTGAATAGCCAAGTGTATTTAGTGACGCCAACTTTGGATTTGATGCCTGCAGGTACCTATGAGAATGTCAGCAACAAGATCTAGAAGTAGAACATCAGAATACATACCATCCTGCAGCAAAGATCCCAATATGTACACCCCAGAAGAACAAATGGAACAAGACCTTCGAAACGGTCAAGTCCGCCCTCTTCCACCAGGAGTCTTGAGCTGCGGTCATTCTTTCTCTGCGCTTTTGAGGATGTCGACCAGCGACAAGTATTTAGGCAATAATTTAATCAAAGGAGTGACGGGTCCAGACGGTTGACCAGCAACCCGGTAATATACACTGAAATTCTGTCGAAAGCGAAATCTCCTGGCCCCCTTTTGTGGCAAGACTCCAGTGTCAATTTTGACCGGTCGGTGCTTTCAGAGTTCGTCAACGGCGTTGTTTCTCCATGAATTTGGCGTAAATCAAGATTTCCTAGGATAATTTTCGCTTCGAAGTTGAAGAGCGGATTTGAAAAAATTCCAAATACTGTTGAACGCCTCGCACAAGGAAAATCACACTCGCAACTTGCGATAGTACTCAATCAAGATGTATAGAAACAGGATGTGAGTTGTGCGCCTTGTCGCGAGCGCTGTTGCCGGGGGATTCCCCTGCACGTGTCCTCTCGAATACAAGAGGTTACTGACACTTCAAATAAATATGATATTCGATTTGATTCAAGCTGTTCCAGACATGGTTGACGTCAATAGATGGAATAAGGGCAAGATCGGAGATAGGTTGGAGGTTCAGAGAATCCCAGTGTTGTGGTTTTAGCTGCAGGGATGGGGGGCAGCCGATCTATAATTACATCGCTTCTGGCGGGCAATACTCCGTTTAACCGACTACGTACTTGAGTCTACAATGTCTGTGCTTTTAGAATTCTCCTCTGAATGAGTGGTGGGAAGACCAAGAGAGGAAGTCCAGAGGCTAGAATCTTGATCGCTTAAAAATCCTCGTCAGTTTTTGCCTGTTCTCTCTCAACTGCTGTCTTGGCTGATTCTTCCAAGCCTTTCAAAAGTCCTGCTTTTGATCCTGGACCTGGGTTTTTATTAATACTCTGAGAAGTGTGCTATTTTTAATGACCGTTCGTAGCAGGTACACCAATCATGAAACGAAGTTTATACGCCCTAGAGTCCGACCACCGTGCCATGTTCCCCGCGAAGAAGCAAGTCTAGTGGGAAAAGGAAGCACCCTGTTGGACCAATCCTATCCGATTCGGCAGTTTTCCCTAATCATGACAGGCTGGGACAGGTGCCAGCTAAATCGGTCGCCGAAGTTCAAAGAGATTAATGCCCCGGGGTTGGCAGAGAGGCTGGTGACTGGGCAACGTCAAACTAGGCCAGGGAAAGAAGGTTGCTAAGAGGTTGGCCTATCAGAGGCCTCCTGCAAGCGCTGTCTTCTCGTCACACGGAGCCCCGAGGGTCGCCCAGCGTCGGTGAAAAAGCAAAAAGCCTGCCATTCGGTTCAGGATCCATACGGCGTAGGGAATAGAAGTTTCGCCAAATATAGATCAGTGATGACTCGAACTATATTGCATGTTTGCCATAAACTATGCCTTTTCTCCGATAAAAGTCTCCACTTGGCACTGCAAGTTAAATCAGGCACGGGCTGACTCTGCAGAAGATGCAGAAAGACGGTGTGTTGCACTGAATTGGAATCAGGGCTACTGTAGTCATCTGATCTGGATGTTCCAAACTTGTCTCTACAAGTAACAAAACTGAGACCATGCAGACAACCCTAGACAGTCCAGAAAACACAGGCCTCGGTTAAAATCCCCAAGAATAATAAAAATACAATTCGAATGTCCATGAGACTTGAAAATGACAGCCCCTGTGCGTGCCATGCATGCACCTGCAGTTCATCACGCCAAGCCCAAGCGCTCCGGCCTGTGATTTGCCGACATCCACTTCGCGATCCGCTCCGTCACATCCCCCACTCGCCAATCACACGGACTATGCCGCTTCTTCAAGAAGCTCAGGAAGAGGGGTGGTCAAGGATTCGGGGACCTTTCGGCCGGTGATTGGTCTACGGTGCTTGTATCTGTGCAGATCACGGTTTAATCCTATCCTTCTTGCATGTGTCCCAACCCCATGCAGCTCGTCACCTTTTGGCGCTCGACCATCACATCCTGGCAAAGTGTTCCGAGTTTGTTTGAGTTATCAGAGGGGTCGTCAGTCTAAGTATAGACTCTTATACCTAACCCCCGCCTGCACGCATGCCACTCGGAATATGCTTTTTTTCCTTCCCCATACGAACTATGGTACCACGATAAGCCCTTGCAATAATATCCGCTCTCCATGTGCTCGGATTATCCGACTCAATAAACATCTCTATGTCTTGCTGGATCGTATGATGAAGTGATTCTCTCACAGAATCTACCGCAGCTATTTGGGGTTTGCGACATCTGTCGCCCAAGATTAGCCTCGCACTTTGTCATACACAAGTGACTTTACTTCCTCCGAGGTCTTCGCTGGCTAAAGCTTTTTCACACACAACGCCATAGCTCAACAAAATGGGCAGGCTCATCAAGAACCACTGGGGGCGGTTAATCATTCTCACCGCAGCAGCTTGTACGTTGCCATCTAAAACCCTCAAGTCGAAGCCAGTACTGACATATGCAAACAGACCAGGTTGCCAGCGCTATCGAGGGCTTTATCTGGCCCAAAGTATTCTGGGACTTTATCTCCAGGAACCTCGATGCGGCCGTCGCCCCAGTACCCGTTCTTCAAATCCTAAATCTCATCATGGGCCTCGTGGGCATAGCCTGGGAATGGCCTCTCAAGCCATTTGCTGGCTCACTACCGCACCGCAGCATTGAAATCCGTCTCATCATATACCCCCTCAACGCCCTCCTCGCGGCGCTTCTCTATCAAGGCACCGACCCTGCAATATATTATTTGATTGGCATCGGTGTCTATTTCTGGGCCTACAGTGAAGGCGAGGTATGTTCTTGCGCATATTTTGACATAGGCTGTTCTTATGCTAATGAGAGGATATAGGTCGTCTGCCCGGAGCCTTGGACCTTGCCAAAACGGCATGGACTATTTAAAGCATAACATTGGTTCAGTCTGGTGCATTGAGTGTAGCAGACACATATCATTTAGATATCCTAATACATAATGAACTTGATGACTTGAAAGAGTGGCATGGCTGATATCATTAATCTCTATCAAGGTCATATAGCATGCATGGGGAATATTTCTCCTGCTGAATACTCAATTACATAGACCTAAGTATCATTTTCGACAATCAACAATCACAAAACTGTTCACTTCTCATATTATCCCAAGGTTGAGAATAGTTGCTCATCATACGTTGGTGCCTTATAAACGAGGCATCAACCCGTGGACGACCGCCTGGCACGTGATGCTCCATTCAGACTCCAAGAAAAACGTCATCTTGACAATAATACTTTCATGAAAGCTCAAGAAGATCCAGAAGATACCTTATAAATGCCTTGCGCATTGTTTATATGTCATGGATGACTTCAGGGGCTGCTTGGAACCCGAAAACCAAATCTGACTGACACCAAACAAGATGGCCCCGTCTACAGAAATCCAATCCAAAGTCGAGGAAGACGAGCTCGCCCTTGAAACAGTGGAGGATGTTCCAGTCAACAAACTCACCAGCTTCAATGGCCGGCTGCAGCAATACCTGCATAGCGGGACCGCAGCGCACGAAGCTCCAACTGCCTCTCGGGGTACTATATCTCAACGCAGCATAAATACCAAGACCGAATATAAACCAGACATTACCGAACGTCAAGCAAAAGCCACAATCTCCAGCCCAAGGCGCAAGAGAACAGCGTCAGCAACCTCATGCACCACCCGCTCAAAGTCGACCACAATAGCCACGCCTCCATCCCCAATCCCACCTCGCCAAAGCCCAAACAAACGCAAGCGCAGCACAGCAACCCCCAAAACCCCACCCATACCCGCAATCGCCGGCCCTTCAGCGACAGAATCCCTCCTCTGCGACACAATCCCCCCAAACCTGATCCTCCTACTCGTAGGCGTGAATCCCGGAATAATGACCGGCATAACGGGGTACGCCTACGCGCATCCGTCCAACCTATTCTGGAAACTGCTCTATTCGTCAGGGATAACAAGTGTCCGCCACGTACCCGCCGACACATACAAGCTTCCGGCGCTGTACAGCGTGGGCAACACGAACATCGTGGAGCGGCCAACGCGCGACGCGAGCATGCTCAGTCGCGCGGAGATGGATGCCGGCGTGCCGGTGCTCGAGGCTAAGGTTGCTGCGCAGAGGCCTGAGGTTGTTTGTCTTGTTGGGAAGAGTATTTGGGAGGCTGTTTGGCGGGTTAGGCATGGGAGGGGGATTCGGAAGGAGGAGTTCCGGTATGGGTGGCAGGCGGAGACGGAGAATATGGGTCGGGTTGATGGTTGGGCTGGGGCGCCGGTTTTCGTCGCTACGACGACTAGTGGGCTTGCGGCGGGGATGAAGCCGGCGGAGAAGGAGGCTGTTTGGGCGGAGTTGGGAAGTTGGGTTGTGAGGAGGAGGGGAGAGAGGGGGTTGGATCCTGTAGTGGTTAAGGAGGAGATTTGATATGAGTTTGCGGTTTGCTGTGGCTTTTATTTGTATAGATGATGTCGCTGTACCATATACTATCATGAGCTATGATCATTGCTTTTTAGAAGATTGAACGGATTTACAAATGGGAATGTTCGAGATTAAGTTAAAAGTATTTGTATTTATTTGTAAGACGAGTGAGGTTGCTCATCATTCATTATCTCATGATATCAGGTGCAGAAGCCTGTTGAGTACCAAGATGCAAAGATGCAAACCCAGAAACAGCAAAAACTCCCTCTATGCCCATTCCAGAGCTAAAGATTGAGGGTGTTGCATGACGTTTCCCCAAAAGATCATGCGCCAAAGTGCCATACAACGGACGATCGAGGGATATGGATATCTCAGTAGAGGTCAATGTGAGGGGTAAAGGAGGGGAGGTAGCTGTCCAGGGCGTGCTTCAATAGAACACCGATGCCTGGCTGGCCTCCCCATTAACCACGAAAGGAGTAGAGGGTAGATTTAGCGGCTGCCATTAGAGTCATTCTTGCCGCCCTCACGCTCGCGTGCCTGTTGAAGTTGAGTTAGTATACAGAACCTCGCAATTGATGCACCGAAGTGGAACTGAAACTTACTGTGGAGGCCTGGAATTCGCCGCCTTCTAGGATCTTGACCATGCATTCATCCTCGTTGGCTGTACCGAATTCGTTCTGAAGAGAGCTCTTGCTGGCAGTGTCAAGGACGCCCTGGGCTCCGTGGCTGCATCCAGATGTTAATGATCTGACGTATAGTAAAAGAAGTTGAAACACTTACGAGTGAGTCAGGAAGATCTTCCAGCCATTAAGAACTTGGGTCAGGGGAATGCTGCGGTCGCTCTTCCACTTCTGGAGGCTCTCGATATCATCCACAAAGACAACGAAGTCGTCTGAGCTACCCTTGTAGAATATCTTAGAAGCAGTGTCGTTTCCACGAGCCATATTGAAAGGATGTGAGGTTTGAGGTTGAGGGATTGGAAGAGTTTGGAGAGATTGAATAGATTTGAAGATATCAGAGAGAAATTGATGAATGAGAAGAAGGGAAAGGTAAAAGGTGGTGGTTTAATAGTCCGAGGTGGGAGAGCTCAGGTGATGATGACTGATGACGTCACCCTATGAGCTGATGCAAATAGAAGAAGCTCGCGTGTTTTGTTCACGTCCTCTGCAGTCTGAATGGGACAACTAACCACAATTAGTCACAGTGGATAGGGCTTAAATGGCGTTTGTCGTTCTAGTCCCTTGCTTCACTACAGTTCTTACACGGCGCGCCAACTATTCCAGCAAAGACGACGTCATAGTAGCTCCCCTGCCCGTTGTCGGATCCGCTGTGACGCCAAACGTGGGGTAGTTCTCAAAGAGCCAAGTGGCAAGTTGGAGGATAAAGAGGATTCTGCTGGTATTCCAATTAATAATTACTTATAGTCCAAGCCACAATTACGTTTTTGGGTTAATTATAATCCCTCCTTGACTCCAATGCTCCCCCCGAATGTACCAGAACCATCTCAAAAGGACAACGTAAAAATAGGGACCTCACTCAGCATCGGAGCGGGTCTTTTTCAGCTTCTTGGGTGCCAAGGCACTAAACAGATTCTTCGGAGATGACCACTTTTGGGGAGAAGACCACTTCTTGGATGACGGAGATGATTCGGAACTTCCATCTTGGCTCCGGCGCTTGTCGTTGCGAGGTGAAGAAACCGACGACGTGGGGTTCTTAGGTGAGCCTTTGAAAAGGAACGTCTTCGACCGCCGAGGCGTGGTGGGTGTTCGAGGCACCTCACACTCGACTTCCTTATCCTCCCCTATCTCGCCGCTGCCTGCTGCCTCCTTGTCCATTCCCTCGCTCTCTTCGTCGGAGTGCATGTCGGTCGATTCTGCTCTCGAATGGAAGGCGCCGACGGAGCTCGACCGCCTGGTAAACCCTGGGCGAAGGCTGAGCCGTCTCATGATAGAACCATGTCGGAAGAGATCACCCCTTCCAAGAACCATTCCCGGCAATGGAAGGAGGTCCCCTGTGTAGATGTCTGAGATCAGTCGCTCCAGCCGGATTCGGTCAATCCGGCGAGCAGTCAATGTCAATGCCGAGCGGTCAGTAGATGTCTTAGGCCGTTCAATCTCGCCTTCAGCCTGTGAGGCTGATTCTTCGGTGTGGCGTGGATCATGCGTTTTCTTGATGACTACATGTTGGACGCGGAACTTGCGGGAGATTGCCATTGAATCCATCGATGACCTCCGCGCCATAGAAGACACTGTGTATTGAACGTGGTCCAAAGGCAACAGTTGGAAGGCTAAGAAAGAATGTTTTCTTGGCTCCCACGTCCTGGGCTGGGCCACTTCGACCAAAGCCGCCGACACTTTGAGAATCTCAGTATTCCATTGCTTTTCTTCCACTGCCGAGGATGCACTGAGAACAAATTCGTAGTTCTCATCTTTATTTTCAAACAGGAGCTTCCATGAAAATATACATCCATAGGAGCACAGTCCTGATGGGTTAGATATATTTCGGGGATAAATCTCAGCGGAAAGTTACTCACCTCGTCCATTTTGAAGCGTATCAATCTTGAGAGAGTCTAGATAGACACAAGCCACTGCTTCCAGTCGACGCAGGTCATCAATCCCCTTGGCGAAGAGAAGGTAGCGTTGAAAAAGTACACAGACCATGAACTCCCCGTTAGTGGTTTCCATCGTTTGATATGTGACATGGAGCACACCGCACATGACCAACGGGCCAAGGTCTTTGTATATACTCTGGAGTGCGTGCTGCCCAAAATTCAGTCATTTTCATCTCATCAATGAAGATCTTGTGTTGCCTACCGATTTCGAGATATCCACCTTATCCTGGAGAGCGATTGTCTTGTCGATGCGATCTTTGTTGATCGGGTTTCCAGCTGATAAATTGATCCGTGTTACTAGCACCCGTATAGTGTCCAACACTTGCTGGATTCCATCATGAGAAGACGGACAATCACTAACAGGAGTAGACCTGAGCAGATCTTGTAGGACAAGGGGGTATTTGCAAAGACGTTGGATGGGCTATATCCTGGTTAATGATCGAAGCACTCGCCATTTTTAACTCACGCACCTTGATTAACAAATCATTCAATGTCATTGATTTGTGGTCCTCTTGTCTGCGTCGCTCGGTAGACGCGACCGATTTTGAAAGCGCCTCGATTCCCTGATCATATATCGTCCAGTTGGCAATTGAGCGGCGTAGGAGAGCAACGTCCTGTGTCAATAGTTCATAGTTGCTGCAAAATTGGTCATACGCTGGGAATGAAAGTGCCTATAAAATGCCCAGTCAGTGCATACAATCCTATTTGGTACACCAATGTTTACCAATTTTTCAAGTTCACGGGCAACTTCCAGTCCCTCTGTTGGTTCAGCAGTGAGTGCCATGAGGCGCTGATTGACCGATGCCTTGAGTGATCGAGTCCTCAAGGATCGTTGCTGAAGTCCCTTTAGGCTGCCCAGGTCAAGGGACCCTATACGCTTAGTGA